CTGATAGGAAAAATCCGGTGAACTATCTGCAAATAATGACAAGAGGAGAAAAGTAAGGGAGTTGAATAGACAGGATGGATGGGAGGGGATGGTCGCTGCTGAATTTTAATCCAACCGGCACGGTGCGGCGCGGCGACACGAAAATAATCTTGGCGTGATTTTTAAATTAAACTTACTCAGCATTATCAGAAATGAGAGTTCCTAATGTTCGAAAAATACTGGCGGATAAAATAAAGTGTCATACGTATTCATGAAGCGCGCAGGGAATGCAAAAACTTCCAATTTGTGAAAATTGCGTAATTATGTAACGTATGAATCAAATAATCAAAATTTTTAAGTAGCATAAATGTTGTTAATAGCAGTGGTAACAACAGAAATATTCTTTTTTAATTATTGTGCCAAAATCCAAAATACTTTACAACGAATAGGATCGATTGTGTTGTGATATATTGTTGTAGTACGTGTCGTTGACAACGTCTTAAAAAGAACTGCACGAACGATTTCGGTGATTTTAGCCAAGTAATAGCGACACGTGTTTAGGATGCAGTTGTCGTTTAGGATGAGTTTTCTGATTTGTTGAATCTCAGAGCTTGAGCAATCACTACTGCCAAAGCACAAACTACGTGGAGATTTTCACGTACGCTGTACCCAGTGAGAAATAACAATGGAATCAATATCGAATCGATGTCAATTCGACATCGATTTGATGATTTCGACATCAAATCGACAAAATATATACCGTTCAAATGTCGTAGCAATTAACTGCGTCAAAAGTACAATCCGCAACACTCACTGATTCTAATCAAGCGACGCGGTAGCGTCGTGACGCCAAGTGCATAAAATAAAAATATAACCGTTTGACTGCTTGACATGATCGCTTGATTGATGCGTGTATATGTTCATGTCGCTGTCAAATTCATGACGCTACCACTAGCTTTATCTCGAATTGTTACATCTTCAAATTTTAGATTAAAATTACTCAGAATTTAAAAGCTCCTTTTTTACTTATTATTTATTTATTTATTTTACAAAAACAGGCTAAAAAATTATTTTCAGTCGCTTTTCACCCAAAGTTGCTTTTGGATATTATTCTTGGATAGTTTATACATCGTTTAAGCAAAAAAAAAATCGAAAAAAATTTTTTTCCAAGGTAGTATAACCCCTTAATTAATTAAATTAATAAATAAATAATAAAATTAATTGAGAGAGAGAGAGAGAGAGAGAGAGAGAGAAACATATAACAATGATAATCATTAATAATAAGCATTATAAACATATAGTTATATAATATTAACATTAATTATAATTAATGTTTATTATCAAGCGACGCGGTAGCGTCACAACGCGAAGTGCATAAAATAAAAATATAACCGCTTGACTGCTTGACTTGACATGATTGCTTGGTTGATGCGTGAACGTCATCGTGTATATGTTCATGTCGCTGTCAAATTCACGACGCTACCACTAGCTGTATCTCGAGTTTTCACATCTTCAAACTTTAGATTAAAATTACTCGGAATTTAAAAGCCCAATCACAAATCTAAAAACACTTTTATTACATAATGTCATCGGTATCCTTCGATTGCGACCAATCCGAATAAAATTGGTGCAGCCGATACCGAGATCTAGAGACTGAGTCCCGATAACTATTTTAGAAATAGAATCTGCATTTATTTTTAGAGGATTTAAATTTCCTACATTATTATCACGTTTTCGAAATTTACAAAAAGCGATGAAATCTCTTAAAAAACCTTTTTTTTTAAAAAGAAAAAAACATACGCCAAGTGCATAAAGAAGATATTGAACTTCTTGATCAAAAACAGATATGAGATAAATATAATTGACCAAGTATATTCTTCATTACGCCAGTCTCATAAGACAGACTGAAAGTGACTATAATTGTCAACTGGATTATAGTGAAGAAAAAACTTGGCGTTCCCGGGTCGCAATATTCTAGAATCTTGGTTCTATCGCAATATTCTGCAGTATACACTATATATGCGAAAACAATAATTCAACAAAGAAAAGATGTGAATAATTGCTTACTGAACATAAAAAGTTGTTATTTATAATGTTTCTAAAATATACATTGTACTATGTTATACACGGAAAGAATTATATCTTGAAATTTACCCTGAAAATATAGTAATCGTGGGACAACATTATATTTCGAAGAATTTTTATGTAAATCTCTCACATTCACTAATGAAACTACAATAAAATATAAAATAAGTATGATTAATTTTACTGAAGTGCATGGTAAAAATCTTTAATTTTATTGTATTGTTCCATAATTACTATATTTTCAGGGTAAATTTTAAGAAATCCTTCTCTCCGTGTACGTATATATTATATCTGTATATATATGAGTAGGAGAGGTAGGTATGTTCTAAGCTGATTAGAACTCACCACGGCTGGTATAGCCAATGGCGTTGCTCCTTTTTGTTTGTGTGCGTGCGAGTTTGCGTGTGTGCGTGTGAAAGATAGCCAATGGCGTTGCTCCTTTTTATTTGTGTGCGTGCGAGTTTGCGTGTGTGCGTGTGTAGGTAAAAAGTGCGTGAAGTCGACGAAGGTCGCGCCTCGCTGGTAAGGGCGCCCGCGCGCGATCACCATGGCGACGTCGCCGGCGCCGTCACCACGCACTCGCCGCGGGCGAGTGAAGCGAGGTTATGTCTCTCTCACGCCGCGCGCGCGCTCTTACAGGTTATGTCTCTTCCCGCGCTCACGGCCTGCGGTCGCGCGTGCGCCGTCGAGTTCCTCGCGAGCGGCGCGACGGTCGGTCGGACGGTCGTTCGTTCGTCGTCGTCGTTATTCCTCCTCGAAGCTCGATCACGCGCGAATCGTGCGCTCGACGCCGTCGTCGTCGTCGTCGTCGTCGTCGTTCATTTCGGTCGCGCGTCATATCGTCGTTACACCTTTACGGTTGGAAAAAAAAAATGTGTTGGGTGAAATGTTCAGTTTGTCTTTTCAAAAAAGAATCTAATTGTCAATTATTGTTGTTGTTGTTGTTATTGTTGTTGTTACCGTTACGCGATGCACGCGTTATCGCCTCGGAGACGATTCTCACCTTTATTTTTTCCGTTTTCCTCGATCTATCTATAGCCTTCATGGTCGCGCTCCGGAGACAATTCATTTGAACGAATGACTCATTCGACGCGCTCTATCTCTCTCGCCTTCATTGTTTTCTCGTTGCGCGGCGTGATCGGTATTTTTTCTCTTTCGTCGTCTTTTTCGCCGCTTTCCCGTTGCGCGGCGTGATCGGTATTTTTTCTTTTTCGTCGTCTTTTTCGCCGCGACCTCGATCTATCTGTCGTCTCCAAGGTCGCGCCTCCGATGACTCACTCGTCCTCACTCTTTCCCGTTGCGCGGCGTGATATTTTTTTTCTTTTTCGTCGTCTTTTTCGCGACCTCGATCTATCTATCGTCTCCAAGGTCGCGCCTCGGATGACTCACTCGACCCGCTCTCTCTCTATCTCTTCCTCACTCTTTCCTATTGCGCGGCGTAATTTTTTTTTCTTTTTTCGTCGTCTTGTCGCGATCACGATTTATTTGCCGCCTCCAAGGTCGCGCTTCGGATGACTCACTCGAGGTGCTCTATCTCTCTCTCTCTTTCTCTCTCTTCCTCACTCTTTTCCGTTTCGCGGCGTGATCGTTGCGTGTATACTTTTTCTCAACAGGCTTCTCCATGTTATTTTATGGAAAAAAAAAGTAAATTGTTGCGTTGACCAATATACTGATATACTATGCCCTTACATTGTTTGATATTAATGTAGGTATATATTTATTCGAAGACGCGCTCGCGCATCCGAGTTAGTTTTTTCCCATTTTCCTCGTCGTTCGCTGCGCGCTTACCGTTAATTTATTCAAGGTCGCTACGCGCGATTGCGATCTACTCATAGTCCTCAGGGTCGCGCGTTGAATAAAATACATTTTTTTTTTTTTTGGTCGTGTAATTCAGTCAGATTGAATGTGAAATTGATTTTCTTATTTGTCAATATATTTATTCGAGTGTTGTTACTACATGAGAGAATACAATTTAATAATACAAAATAATGTTTATTCTTAAAGCGTTTTAATTTGGTCCGAAGATGAGTCCGATTAGTTCACAATCGATTATGTCGTTGCGATCGAAGTATTCATTTTCGTACATGGTTTTTTGTATGTTCGTAGAATTGTTCACATTAGCCGCGATATTGAGAAGACGCTAGTACTTTTTGTTTATGATGTCAGTTACGTTGTCGAATGAGGAAATGAGGAATTAACGCAATATTCTAGATTGAATAAATTGACAACTGTACTGTTTGACAAGGTCATTCGTGAAGATGTCGAATCAAGACGCAACATCGGTATACTGTTAATTTGACCAAAATGTAATTTCACATCTCCGATGTATATTGGCGATGGCGCGCGTTTTGCTTTTGTATTTTCGGGTTGCAAAAGCGGCAATATGACGCGTTTATGTTCGACGAGCTCGCTCCATACGGTCGGTGAGAGGAACATCTCTTTGCCGTGACTGTCTCCAAGAACGACAGTTATCTCGCAGGGCAATTTGACGTTGATGCCGACGGTTAGATACTTGTATCCGGTAGCAGTTAAAGGATATCTTCGTTCCAATATACGTACTGTGGTACTGTTGCGAAAGAAAAAGAAATTAGTTCAGAAAAAACAATGATTAACAAAAACAAAAAATACGTACGTGTCTTTTGTATCTACTTTTTCGTTATATTGTTTCTGCATATTGTTCGCTTCGTTATACTGTTTTTCCTTTTTTCCATCGTGCTCCGTGATAACATGTTTTGCTGCCGTATTGGTGAAAACTCTTCTGATCTTCGCGTCATTCGTACGCTCGATGAGGAGACGTCGAGAGTCGTCGTCGGTGTCGTTTGAAATCGCGTACATGTTTTTCTCTCTCTCACGATGTTAATAGAACGATTCGTTCTTTCGCACTGATCGTCTGCGTACCCATGTAGTAATATATTTTTTTTACTTAAAACATCGTGCTAATCGTCCAATGCATCCTCTGTGGTGTATTCGAGTAAATTATTTGATTGAAGCAGTCGATTAAGAAGATCTTGCAATTGTCTTAGCAGTCCGTCTGTAGGACAATTTACGTTGAGTATTTTCATGTTGAAATTATCGGCATTCGTTACTGTTTGGGTGAACTCGTTGAATTTGTAATATTGACGTTTTTGTAAGAAATGAAGAGAACCGTCGATATATCGGTAGGATACAGTCGGAGATGATGGTATTCCCGGAAATATCGATTTTAACGAGTGATATTCACGAATAATCATGTCGCATTCATTCATTAACGCTACGCTGTCGCCATCGAAGATCACGTACGTTTGTCCTCGGTTGGTGACTAATGCTGCGTTAACGCGCATTTCTGCGGGAAAGTTCAGGTCGGAATACGGAATTTCGGCCAACCATTTTTCAATTGAAATCTCGGATAATCTACCATGTAAATTTTATTATTCGCGAACATCACAATTTCTTCTGATGGCCGTTGATACACGGCGTTTATTGAAACGTTCGCCGGAAGAAAACGAAGATAGTCGTTGAGCGCGAGTGGTCCCTTGTACCTTTTACCATTGATGGCTATCACCCATATGCTCTTTCGATAAGTGACGAATATGTGATATTTCAACACCAGTACATTGTCCACGTATGGTAGATCGCACAGATTTTGCGTTGATGTTTTACGCGTGTCTGTAGTTACCGGTGGAGATCGTGTACTCGGTACTTTATTAGGATTTTTTTTTCCATATAGACGTTGAATAGCTAAAATGTCCTCTATACTGAGTGTAGCGGATCTATCGGTGACGTAAGGAAACATTAGAGAATCTGCGCGATAATCCTAATGAATGTCCGATTTCGTGCGTTAATGTGTAAAGTAAATGTAGTTTGTTTTCTGATATACTTTCGTTTAATTGTATAAGCCAAGGTTCCGCTACGTCTACGTGTATCTCAGTGCTTTGCATGGGGTCGTTCATAGGTGGAAACGCGTGTGCGAGCACTCCACCGGGTCGATGTATGTGTGAGTTCCTCCGCGATATGATATCAAAATATCTGGATTTAACGTTTTACGTTCGAATGTTAGAGACGTGTTTGCCGCCCATATTGAGAATGCGTATGTCGCGAGTTTCAATGTATTCGCATCCGCTAAGTGAAAGTTCCACGTAAGATGCGTTTTTTTCCATTTTACTGTATTCGTATTGTGTTATTCCTGGTGTGGCATATCCGGAAGTCCACATCGAGATTTTCGTATTTGATCGTAATATCGTTTAATATACCGTTACCTGGTATTTGATAGTATTCTTGAAATAATGCGATAGCCTCTTTAATTTTTTCATCCTCGATCGACGTGTGAGTAGTTACATCTGCCTCGTTTAGGTAACCGTACCTCTGCAAATATTATATCACTTCTGTGTTTACGAGATTTTCAGCCGTCGGCGTCGACGCGCATATCGTTACGGAAACGAAAGCCACGAGGTAAGCGAGAGACATCGCGGTGTACGTGCACAGCGGAAACGTACTGTTCGACCGTTAATCGCATTCTGTCGAGTATGGTGGAGGAGGAGTGGTACGTGTGTCTATAAATAAAGAAATGAATCGGTAGGAGTGTCAATAAACGTGGTACAGTCCGTTTCAACATTTTTATTTTGTGAAGCATACATTAAAAACAGTTAATCTATAATATCGTCTAAATCGTTATGTTTATTGTTAGATAATTTTACAAACGACATTTGTCAATGGATTGTACTCTATTACTCTGTCATGAATAATTAGACAATAGGCCGTGGTGTTCGGTGGAATGTTTGCTCTACATTCGAATTCGATACGAATGTCCACGGTTGCGCTTTTTACAGATTCGTTTTGACGAGAGCAATCGATCACCACGAGTGGCGCGGACGAAATAAATTGCGCGAGTGATAACAAAGTTTCGTTTCTTTCGTAGCCGTAGTACGAGTTGGCAAATTTTGCATACATGTCGTATAGTATTGCGACTTTATTACGTTCAAAATCCACATTCATATCATCATATGGAAAAAAATCGGAGTTCAAAAAGAGTTTCACGTTGACGAGCACGCGTCGAAAAGAGTAATATCCTGAGAGAGTACGTTTCGCTTTCCAGTTTGAAGCGAAAGGATCACGTATCGTGGTTTTTCCAAATGCGACGTTGTCTTCACAGCCCACGAATGCTTCGTCGTGCTCTGAAGTAGAGGAAACTCGTACAAATCCCAAGATCGAAATCCCATGCTGAGATATCGTCCGTTTTCCAA